TAAACATGTCTGAAAAACATGAAAAATAAGAAGAAAAAAAATTCAATTGCGAAGATCAAACCCTCAAAATTGCATACATGGGTTAAGCTTTGAAAACTACGAATTTACAAATTAATTACCAGCCTTTAACTATACAAATTACCAACTTTTACCTATAAAAAAGTTACCTACATTCCTTGAAATTACTTTTTCAATCTTCAACTCTTTGAATTTTTTACTCTCTCAATTTGGAACCTAACCATCCATGAGACATTTTGAGATCTAGATTGGGTTTTTTTAGATCTAATACTATGGTTGATTTTGTTGCCATCTCTACACTTGGGTTGTGATTTGGAGAAAGTTCTTATAGGATTTTTTCTTGCTTGTAAGATCTCAAGCCTTCATTTTGGAAACTAAACTATGGGCTTGGAATTTAGGTTTAACCAAACCCAATAAGATGAGTTTCAATTTGCTTTTGTGAAAATTTTGTACATATCAAAAATGTCTATTTTGGAGTTTTAAATATTTTCCTTAAAATTCATCAATGTCGTTGGTCACTTAATAAAAAAAAATTGTCGCATCTTTTGCACATTTGGTTTTATAAAATTTTGAGAAGTACGTATATTTGGGGTTTTTTGATCATCTGATAATAAATCATTAAGTGTGCATATTTTAATGATTTATTTCTTATATGGGGTTTATTTGATGTTAATGCATTTTTGGTTCTTGATTATAAATCATTCGAAAAATACATATGATTAAGTTTTCTTGGATTAAGTGGTGTATTTGGTCATGAAACTTATTAAATTCTTTGAATGCATTTTAGGATTTTTGATGACTCATTTTAGATTATTTAAACAAGTTGAAAAGCTTATTAGGTGGGATTTGAATAAAAGTTTGTTTTGAGATTTTTGCCGACCTTTGAGTTAGTAATGAATAGCTTTTATATTAACTTTTATTGTATAGCCAAGTGAGTTGTGGAGTTTATTGGTTTGACTTTAACTCAAATGAGTTTTGAGGATATTTGTCCGGTTTAAATTACTCAATGGGGAGCTTTGGATGTGATTTACATTTATTGCACACACACATACACACACACACACATATATATATATATATATATACATATATGTGTGTGTGGAAATTGTATGTTTTGAGTGTGTTGATCATTCAATTGGATTCAGGTAATGTAGACTGCGTATTGCATCTATAAGCATAAAAATCGGTTTGTTAGTTTAAAATGGGATGGCGATTCTCGTATTGTAGCTAGAAATAAGCATTGGGTCAATAGGAGCATTATGGTGCTAGCTCATGGAATTAAACTGGTCATTACCATATGGTGTAATTTTCTAGTGAACATGCATATCTAAGATCATTGGAGGTCCAAAGTAAGGTATAGACCATAAATGGTTGAACTTAATGACCATTGATCCATGGCGGGGCTCATTAACATAGATATGTAGCTTGCTCTTGTGTTCTCTCACATTCAGTGGAATCAGTTTCCTCCATCACCGAAAGGTTTATTTTGGATATGACATTTTATCCACGTTTTTTGTGTTGTTTTTGGGTACGGATGATGCCCATGATTTCATGTTTGAGATGTCGTATGTTATTCATTTTTTGGATACTAGAGTTTTATGGAAGCTTTATTCATATTTTGTAAGTGTAAGTATTGGGTTTGGCTTCATATTAAAATGGGCGTTTGAGTTATTGAGCTTTCATCACGAAAATGGTGGGTTTTATAAACATTGTGCTTTTATGGTAAATATGTTTCTTTTTGGAAATTATGATTTAAATAAGCAAATGTTACTTAATTCTTTGGGACGTTTTCATATATTTGGAGATTAAGCCTTGGGCGAGAATTATGGTAACACCGTTCTTAATCTAGTTTCGTTCGAATTTAGATTCTAAGCCCTTGACTTTGCTTTATAGTATCCTTGTATATAAGTATAAAGAAGTTCCAAGCGGAGCTGTAATGACTTTATTGTTTTATGAAAATTTTAATTTAGTCGATTTTTCCATATTTTAAGGTGTTACACTATAGCACACGCCAAATGACTCTTTTGAAATTCCACCATTTTCTACTCAAGAACGTTTAGAAAATATAAATTTTGACGAAGAAATAAATAAAGGAAAATGGAGCCACGAGGAAGATGAATCATGCTTGGCAACAATCAATAAAATAAAGATTTTTGAAAAAGAATTGTGGAGTACTAAAACACTTATCGTGTTTCTTTCATCAAAAGAAAACCAAATCTTTGAGTCTCGTTACTATAGTATAGGATGAATCATCTAGTAATTAAATGACTTCAACCAATTTTTTTCCCGGTTAAAGAATAAGCATCATAGTGGGTGGTCCGTTGATCAAATTATAGAAAAAGCTCGTCAATTTTACCACTTCGAACACAATCATCAATTTAGATATGAACACGTGTGGAGAATGGTTAAGGATGAACGACAACGGAGAACTTTCAGGAAAAAGGGCGAAGACCTTGTGGTGAAGGCCTACCACTCACAACATCCAACGTATACTACAAATATATTCCCAACACCACGGTTTTTCTAGTATGTTAGGAAGTATTGTTTGTATGCATTGGGAATGTAAACTTTGTCCTATAGGTTTGAAAGGTCAATTTACTCAAGATGATCATGGGTTGCCGATAATTATGTTGGAAGCGGTTGCATCTCAAGACCTTTGGATTTAGCATGCACTTTTTGGTGTTGCAGGTTCTAATACTGACATCAATGTCCTAAATTATTCTCCCTTCCTTAATGATGTATTACAAGGTTTTGCTCCACGAGTTCAATTTCTTGTGAATATAACATAATATAATAAGGGATATTATCTTGTTGACGACATATATGCGGAGTGGGCTACGATCGTGAAAAGTTTCCACATCCATCAGACCCTAAAAGAAATGAGTTCAAAGAGACGCAAGAGGAGGCTAGAAAAGATGTAGAACGAGCATTTGGTGTTCTTCAATCTCATTGGACAGTTATAAAAGGAGCAAGAAGATTTTGGCAAATCATAATACTGAGTGACATCATATATATACATGCATCTTATTACATATGATTATAGAAAATAAAAGTAGATCCTCCAATACCCGTGTCTCAAGGTTTCATTCAACAATTTTAACATTGCCTTCAAAGGAATGATAAAGTACGTGATTGTTCGGTAAATCATCAACTTCGAGCAAATTTGGTCAAACATGTATCGGAACGATTTAGGAAGATTGATGTAGATTTACTGAAGTTGACTTTTAGTTATTGCAACTTTTAATTATAATGACTTTTATTATTGTAATTTTTAATTATAATAAGTAAATTTTAATTATTGTCTTTTAGTTATAATAAGTAATTTTTAACTATTATAATTTTTTATTATCTACAATTGTGGACTGCTTCATGATTGGGGGTGAAAGGTTTATGAAATGTGCAGGAAAGAGAAAATTGACTTTGGCAGAGAGAAAACTGATGTGTAGATGTTCATGACCGCAGATGCTCTTAGATCTCAAATTGTCCCAATAAAATATATATGCTTTAAGTATTTTATTATTTTTTTTTTTTTTCTTGTTTTAGAATGTAAAAGGATCCGAGTTAAATATTTGAGAGTATGAGTGTAGTTGGCGGAATTGAGAGATTATTGCGTGTGATTTTAACATTTTTTTATAGTGGGTTTTTTCCTCTCAAGGCTCATGGTTTTTTTTCTGGTTTTGAAGTTTTCCACGTAAATTCTTGTGTTTTTTCTCTATTAATGTTCATTATGTGGGTTGTTCGGAAACATTAAGACCAATGTGCCAACATGTGGTTTCAGAGCTTTGTCGTTGGAGGCCTCAGTTAGAGGGCTTTTAGTATGCTCTATGGTTGCACTTATGCCAAATCTTCCACATCATAAAAGAACTCTCTCTTGGTTGTATAGGAGGTCTCCGAGTTAGAGGGTTCTTAGTTTGCTTTATGGTTGCAGTTTTGCCTGATCTTCTACATTAGTGAAAAAAATTATCTACGACAAAATTGTTTGTAGCTGGAGTGCATATGTATTTTGGAATTTTTCCCAGTGTAATACTCATAGGCTACAAACTCTTTTCTAGTATACAATATTGTTTTGAGACATGGATATGATATCAAAGTTCTCAAGCGCTATGAGGTTTGATGTAGATAAATTTGTAGGAATGATCACATTTGGATCGTGGCAAGTTCAAATCAGAGGTTTGTTGATACAATTCGGGTTGCATAAGTCACTTTTTAATTGAGAACGAACCTGATTCCAACAATGATTCAAGCAAATCAGTAAAAGCAAAGAAGAATGGGATGATTTGGATTTGAGAGCGGCAAGTATTATTCGTATGTATCTACCAAATAATATTCTTACAAACGTGTATGGGGTATCAATGCTCGAGGAGCTATGGGAGAAGATTGAGCAGTTGTATCAAGAAAAAGGCATCTAAAATCGATTGCCTCTTAATAATATGGATGGAGGTACAAACATTTCAAATCATCTAAGGTTCCATTTGGTTTGCGGGATTGGATTGAATTTAGAGGATTTGGAATTGAATTCCGTTCCAATCCCATATTTGGTTGAAAGATTTGAAATCCAGGGATTTAATTGAATTCTCATAAAACCATTTCATCAAACCAAACGTCCCCCAAGTATTCTTAACAATATCATTTCAGAAACCTGAGGCTCTCAGAGTTGAGGTTGAAGATAAGGTAAAGTATTGAGGCTCATATTGTGTTTACCATCTTCCTATGAACACATGAAGTCTGTTATGTATGAGAAAAATATCCTGAAGTTTGTGGAGGTTACTAGCAAAATCCTATCATTAGAATGATTATTCTAAGTGGTGATACTTATTTATGGTGAAATATGATAGTTCTCTAACCTAAGATTGAGAATATGATTGCGGCTAAGACTTTCTTTTATTTAGAAGGTGAAGTTCGTTGAGAATTGTTTGGTTAAAATTAAATATAACTTCACAATTTATCATTCACGTCATCAATAATTACAAGATATGTAGACTAATAGTCAAAAAAAGAGTGCTAAATAGGAACAACAGAATGTTTGGACATATAATATATATATATATATCCCAAACAACCTTTAATTTCCAATAACATTGTGAAAGGTGTATGCATCTAGTTGCTTTTCAGGAGTACTAGATATATAAACAATACTATTTCTTTCCCACAAGAGATAGAAATGGAGGAAACAGCATTTTGTACACTCACATATGCTAACCAACTTCATGTATTTTTCCCGGGTAACACTGAGGTTATGGTGGTGGCGGTTGTGGGGCAGCGACAGCAACTGGACGTCGTGGTGGTGCGGCGGCAATCAGTGGTGGTGGTTGAACCAACAAGCCTTTGTTAAAGGCCTGAATATCTTGTTGTTGGACTTCCTACTATGATGGAAGTTAGTTTCTTTGCAGTCCATGTCACCTTTGATATGTGTCGAAGCTGAACCACCATCGCTTTCTTTTCGTCGTCTGAGAGCTCGAACATCGAACCTGCCAAAAGGAACACCAGAACTCGTTAATGCTCATGGCGCAAACGGGTTGACCTGAACCCATGACCTTGACTGAAGCATATCCAGGAATTAGCAGACGTATATAGTTTTCAAGTGAGTTTATGTTTTTATCAGTTTCGGTTACAATAATCAGATCACGTTAAATCAACATTTTCTGATTTTCACATCAATAATCAATTTGGTTTATAGTAAATTACGTTTTCATACATGTGGTTTGTTGAAAATTTTGCTTTTCTTCGTTTATTACACTAACAATCATTGTGGTTCACGTTTTGTTTCCTTATTCGTGGCTGTTAGAACCAATGACGAGAAAGAAAACAGAATGCAAACCACAATGACTATTGGTGTAATAATTGAAGACTATCTTAGGTTTATTTACCCTTTTAAGAAACAGATCTGACCCTCAAAAGGTCGAATTTTGTAATTTCCAAGGTGCTGAAAAGTATCATCATTTTCTCTCAGATTGACTACGTTCTTGTTTCCATTCTACGTACCTGAACTCTTGGAAAGAGCTAGCAATGAAAATGAAGCAAGAACTCTTTCTTCAATCGTGCTGGTCCGATTCAAGGACTCTATCAACTGCCGAACCATCGTTAACAATGTGGTGCTCCATAGGACATCTCCATCGCCAACCGTGTGTACAAATTTGCTCATCCATGCAACTGTCACAAGGCTGGATCGTGCCAAACACGGGATTCCGTTAGCGATCGACTCGCCAAGTGCCGCTATAAGTTTTTCGCCCCCACTGATCCATAGCCCCATTGCAGCTTTCCTTTGCCAGTGCTCTATCTCATCCTCTTCATTCTAAATTGCACGGTTAATTCTAAGTTTTAGCCCAAAAGAAAGGAAGAAAAACAGTAAAAGCATCAAAATGCAAGTTTTGTTTAGTTCCAATTTAGTGTAACGAAAAAGAATCTACCAAAGGGTGATTGACGATACCGAGTTGCTGATAGAGCGCAGCTCCCAAGAGGTCTAAGGGTTAAAAAACCTTACCAAATGTGAAGAGTGTGCGTAAGTATTTGCCATATATAGATATTATATTCTTTAAAAAGAATTTCCCAACCAGCGTAACAAAGTTTCCTATTTTATACTCATTTTGACCGGTAACCTGTTAACCTTGTAACATTTGATGACATGGGTACCTATTTTCGAAAAGGTTATGCCAAATGGACGATAAACATGAAATCCACGTCATCAAATGTTTCAAGATCAGCACATTACCGATCAAAATGGATAGAAACAGGAAAATTTGAAACTTCGCTACAAGGAAGAATACACTCTTTGTTACACTTGATCTATCTAACAAAAATTCAAATTTTCCTATTTTATACTCACCGATAGCCTACTGACCTTGTACCATTTGATCACGTAAATACCCATTTGTAAAAAGGTTACGGCAAAATGAACGATGAATGTAACATCCATGTCATTAAATGTTAGATGATCAACAAGTTACCAATCAAAATGCATAGAAAACAGGAAACTTCGAAACTTTGTTACAAGGACAAAAAAATCTTTAACGAAGTTTCGAATCTACATATTTTATACTGATTTTAATGTGCTGACCTTATGGCATTTGATGATGTTAATACTTGTTTACAAAAAGGTTGAGGCCAAATAGACGATAAATGTGTCATCCACGTCATCAAGTGTTACAAGATCGGCACGATACCAATCAAAATGAATAAAAAATAGGAAATTTTGAAACTTCATTACAAGGAAAAAAAAATCTTTAAACGAAGTTTCAAATACCTATCTATAATCATTTTGGTCGGTAACCTACTGAACTTGTAGCATTTGATGATGTGGATACATGTTTATGAAAAGGTCACTCCTGAGTGAACAATAAACGTCCCATCCATGTCACCAAGTGTTACAAGATCAGTAGGTTATCAATCAAAATGGGTAAAAACACAAAAGAAAAAAAGAAGTCTTTGTTATGCTAAATAAGAACTAAGGCAAACTTCGTTGCATTCCGATGTATTTTTCCGAAACAAAAACAACCATAATTTTTGGATCTTAGTTTGTGAGTACATACCAAGTGTTTGGATCCTTTGGCAACATGGTATCTGCCATGGAAGCCACCCTCCAAGCTTTCATCATAGCCAGCTTCTTTCAAGATCCATTTCTCTATTTCTGGTGTACCTGTGTAACCATACCTTCCTCCTAATATCAACAAGGCTTTTGCTGCTTCTTTTTGGACATTTTCATTACATATTTGACTATCCAAGGCTTCCGTTATTGCTTCGATCGATTCTTCTCTATAAACGCTACTTTTCAGAGGATCTCCCTGCAATAAACTGCCGTTACATGAGGATTTATATCGAGGAAAAAAAAACCAAAAATCATTGTCGATTGATCAAGAAAAGTTACCATAAGATCAAGCTGAAACATTATCGATGCAACCAAAGGGCGTTTTTCTCGTGTGGCTCGTTGTAAAGAAATTAACAAGATTTGCAGAGTGTTCAAGCAATCCCATCCTTTCGATAATTTGTCGAAAAGTTTGGTTCTTTGTTCCAATCTGGTTGAATACACGAAAACGAATCAAACCTCAGAAGTTTTTTGATAGATTTAAGATCCCTGGTTAGCAAATTAGCTTATCAGCTAACTGTTAGAGCATCTCCATGATCCATCCAACAGCTTCTTTTAAATCTCTTTGAAATGAAGCAAAAGTTAAAATGTTAGAGCATCTCCATGATCCATCCTACAGCTTCTTTTAAATCTCTTCGAAATGAAGTAAGAGCTAAAATCTCTCAAGAAAATTACATTCTTCCGTAGATTCTTTATTTTGGAGATTCCAACATTAATCACAGAGTAAATTACCATTTTCGTCCCTGTCGTTTATTAACAATTTTCATTTTCGTTTTTGTGATTGAGAAATTCCGAATTTCGTCCTTATAGTTTGTAACTTATTGCTATTTTTATCCCTGGACTAGTTCCTACCTTTAAAGTATAAGGGGACCAAAACAGTAGAGAAATGTAAACCACATGAACCGAAACAACAATAAATTGTAAATCGTAACGATGAAATTAGGAATGAATTACAAAACCATAGGGACGAAAAGCACAATTTCTAAACCATAGGGACAAAAATTCATTTTTTAACAAACCGTAGGGACAAAAAACATAATCTACTCTTAATTATATTACTACTTCCATCCCACATTTCTATTTTAGTTTATCCACAATTAAGTGTGTACTTTGGTAAGTAAGTGTCTAATTTTAATTCTAACCTTGATTATGGAAAAAAAGAAATTTATTACATTCTATATTATTAAGGATAAAATTGTCTTTTAATTAATTAAAAAGTGTAACAATTACACATTTCAAGAAACGTATGCCATTTTTACTTTGAACATTTATTTTGGGATGGAGGAAGTATTAAAAAATTGAGTAGATTTAATATCCCAATAAATTTTCAAATAATTTATATTTGAAAAAAAGGAGATTTTTGTTCTTTCTCATGTTTCTTTATTCTTGTTTCACCGGTTATGGTGATTTATTGAAAGCTAAAAATGAGTTAAAATATGCAAAATCTTCATTTTCTCTGTTTTAGAGGATTTGTTGGAGATGATCTTAGCTGATAAATTAGTCACATTTAGTAAAAACTAGTTTTATTATTAAGAAAATAAAGGTGCATTTATGTAAAATATAAAGGGCATAGTAGGAAAAAGGAAGAAAAATAACTCAATAAGGCATTTGAAGTAGTTTTTCAAAAAATTAGCTTATTGCTTACTAAACAAGGCTTTAGTGAAGGTGATTATGAATTTTACCTGTTGAGGCAGAATAACTCGACCAGCAAAGCGACCGTGATCTCATCGGAATCGAGCTCTCTGGCATCGACCAGGAGTGAAAGAATGAGCTCAGGATTCAAATTATCCGCCAAGTAATGGCGACAACGCCCATCGGCTTGAATACACAAGTAAATAACAGATGCAGCTTTGGTCTTTTCTACAGTATCCCCAATCACCATTCTTCTCAACAGCAAACTCAACCCTCCAAGTGAAATCACTTGTCTCCCATTCTCCAAATTCCTATCTTCATCAAACCCAGTAAGAAGTTGGTCCAAAAAGTAATATGCCGCGATTTGAGGACTGCAACGAACGCTAAATAAAGTTTGTGTTTGATCACCGAATTCAAGAACTCGTAGCACTAACGGGATCCATTCTGTTGACATCATCTGTTTGGCCTCCGGTTTCACCAAATGGAGCAAAGATGCTGCTTTCAAGAACAAACTGCTGTTTCTCATAAGTGTCGTGAAGCCCTCGAGCTGCGGATCTAAGCTCAGAATGATCTTGCCATTTGCTTCGTTTCTTGTAACGAATTCAGTTAAGAGTGAGATAACGAGTTCTTGGATTTCTTCATTGATAGCAGCAAACAATACTTCTAGCAGTCCTTCGATTACTGAAGGTTTGGATAATGTTTTTTCGACCAATGGATCATTGAGCCAAGCTTTGGTCATGATACGAACCGCTGTTTCACATTCGGTTAAGTTTTCGGAGGTGCTGATGGTGGAAATGGCTCTGGTTAGCTCTGATGGAGGCATGATCAAACAGGATTTCATCGATGGGGGTTTGGGTTGTAAGCTTTGACATGGAAGAAACCATGTGTAATCGGACTTGGTTGAATTTAAGTTCGAAAATTTTCGAAGATTGGTGAGTCTATTCTGTCGGGTTTCAAGAAAATTGATCAGTGGAATGAATTTTCTGCATAAAATGCATCAAAATGTAACAAAGTTTCTCTCGGTTCCTATTTAGTGTATCAAAGATTTTTTCCCCAAAATCAATATAATAAAGTTCCAAAATTTCCTATTTAATATACCAAAGTTTCAAAATTTCTTAATCAATACGACTAAGTTTCAAATTTCCCATTTAACGTAACATTTGATGACGAAAATGTCAAGTTTTTTTCCTATCGAGGATATTTAGATATATAACCTTAAATAAGATTTTAATAATCCATAACTTTCTCATGAGGATAAAGCCATTTTATCTTTAGTACTTCAGAAGGTGATGGATTTAATTAAAAATTCATTTAAGATTATATCTCTAAATGGCCCTTCCATTTTGTTGTTACTCTTTCGTAAACATTTCGTAAATCTTTCATAAACAGATATCTACGTCATAAAAATGTTACAAGTTCAGCAAGTTATTGGTTAAAATGAGTACAAAATAAAAAAAGTGAGGAAAAATATTCTTTACACTAAATAGGATATTAACCAAACTCTGTTGCATTTTGAGATGGTTTTGATCAGCAAAATGAGAAAGATTAATGAACATACTTCAAGATTTCTTTGCTGGTTGGTATTATGATCATCTAAACAAAACAATTCTTCTTCTTCTTCATCTTCCTTTTGTTCTATCGCTCGATTATCGAGCTCCATTGATGGCTGTTTCTCAACAGGAACTCCAAAAACAGCTCCGTGTCTTCATGATTGAAGAACAAGTCATGAAAGAACACAAAAACAGATTCAAGATTCAAAGGGTTTTTCTGGGAGACTTACAAAAAGTTATTGATTGATGACCGCGATGTTAACGAAACAGATGAACTACTTCTTCTTCGTGATTTAATTGAAGGCAAAGGAACAGAAGGAAGAGTAGAAGGAGGTTGACCACCAGTTTTAAGCCATTCTTTGTAGTACATAGCAAATTGAACTGTACCCATATCCATATGATCTTCATAAACCTTGCTGAAACGTTTAATCTGTTCTTCTTGATCCTTTGAGTTATCTGAAATTTTTTCGATTTGTTTGTTGTACCAAATTTTGAGATGGAGGAGATGGGGAAGAAAGAAATGGTCCCAAAGATCCGGTAACAAATGGGTTCGAGCTAATTGAGGCGAATCAACAAACACTTGGAGGACATGGCGAGCACAGATTCTATCGTTCTTCTCGAGCTTGTAAACGATCGATAAGTAAAGCTGAGCACAAGCTGATAGATGCGAATTGGGAGTTCCAGATGTGGTACCATTCTTCGATTCTCGTGAATTCAATTCTGCAACGATCGTCAAAAACCCAATTGAATTCCGCAACGATTTCATCTTCAATTCCTTCATCGTCCCTGGACTATCAATCAATTTCTCGATACTTTCGATCCCCAATTCCATATTTGCAAAAACCCCATTATCCGATACTCCATTGCTTCGTCTCACCAAGCATGAACAACACTTCTCCCTCAAGGAATCGCGAAAATCCTTATCTCGCAAGTACTTACCAGCATACCCACTTAAAATCGAGATGACAGCTTTGGTAGCAACTTCATCAATGGCGGGTTCATCTGATCTCCTGGAAAGCGAGGAACGTCTTCCTTTGGATGAAACAACCGATGAACTCTTCTTGTTCTTTGGAGCATCGATGCTTTTACGGTCACGGCAGATGTAAATAGGCAAAGTAATGGAGTCATGATCATGACCTGCAACTGTTCTATTGAATTTGAGTTTTTTGTGATTGGATGTGAATCCTTCTTTGGCTAGAAGCTCAGATAAAGAACCCATGTACCATAGATGAAATCAGAACTTGATAGAATGACAAGTAAGTAAAGAAGATAATGTAGGGTGACGAAGAAGAAGAAGAAGAAGAATGGCAGCTTTTGAAGAAGCAAAAAGGGGTGGTAGGTGGTGGGGCAGAAGACAAGAAAATGGCGGAAGGTGTAAGGAGTGGTGGTGATTTCCCCAATAATCCATCTTTTAACGGTTAGTGGTTATCGCGAGATTCTTTGGTAATTGCACTGGACCCGGTTCAAATTACCTCCGGTCCAGGAAATCCCGCCAATCTTTCCACTTACCTTTTTATATAAAGTACCGAATATATTTTATTTGTAATATCAAACATTTGTAAATCCAAAAAAATTGTGATGATTTTAAAATCAATCATGCAATTTTTTTATTTGCAATCTGGATTTAATGTATTAATTAACATATATTTGTTTTATAATGTATTTTTTTCACAATGTAAACATTTTTTTATATGTTTGTGAAACAAAAAATAAAACTAAAAAGTTTCATATTGTGAACTGATTACATATGAAATAATATATTAAATTATAGCATTGGATGGAAAAAAAATCATCTGAAATAATGTCTTATGATAATAGTTGTCACAATTATCGCATTTTTTAGGTTCTCAAATTATCAAACCATATGTCAAATATATCTTAATCGTAACATTAGTATTACAATTAAGATATATATTCTCATGATATTTTTCAAATTTTTAGTCATAATAAATAATTTGGATAAAGTAATGGATTTTGAGCGTTATTTTCTAGGCTTTAACCTATTTTTTCGGGGTTTGATCGGACTTTTTCAAGCTGCAATTAGCTTTTGACCCGGCCGGTTTTAGGATAACTAATGACTGGTTTTTCAGGCTTTATTAGAGCTTTGTTTGCCCGTTAAGGACCGGTAGGTTCAAGTTTAAGATCAAAATGGGTTTTCGCTTATAACCGGTCATTGGGTTTTTAACCGGTCCTTTTGGACCAGTCCTCCATCTTTACTGGTTCAAAATTGGCTAATTAGTCCTTTGTGCATCTCTAGTAATATCAGATGATCCAACGTACATCATTGAAATGGGGTTACAACTTACATTATCTTTTCTTAAAACAAAAAATAATCATCCTCTTTATCTTTTTTTCATCGATAATCATTGAAATACAAAAAGAATGGAGTCAAACCAATTATACTAAAAAAACGAGCATTTTATTTTTATATAATTTAACATACATATTATTATATTTTTTTTCATGATACGTTCTCGACTTCTCGTGTTCTCGTATTTTGATGGTGTCCTTGCAGGCAGGTTCCATGCTAAGTGGGTTGTGATTACCAATAATCAATTTTTGCTCAAATAAAGGTATTAGATTTAGTAAATTATCATCATCTATTTTTGAAGATGAACCCTTAGGGGGTGTTTGGTTCATATAATGGAATTTGATGGAATTGGAATCCATCAAATAAATTTGACTTTGAAGGAATTGGAATTAAATTTGATGAAATTCGATCACGCGTTTGGCTGGTAGAAATTGGAATGAAATCTCTCAAAAGAATTGGAACAATCATCATTGTTTGGACTATCGCACTCATCACCCCACCCACACCCTACCAACCACCATGTCATTATTGTTGTCGCCACAGCTATCTCCCAGCCCCACCCCTATTCAAACCCTGCCCCACCATCCCGACCCTCCCCCACCACTCTTGCCCACCCCTACTCCATAGGTGGGGTTGTTGGGGGCAGGCAGGGTGGGTGGGGCGGTGAGGGTGGGCTAGAATGGGGCAGTGGGTGGTAGTTGTGACGATTACAGTGGTAGGATGGTGGTTAGTRGKGGSKKG